CCAGAAGACCCAAGAGTTGAGAGGCCAAATCGTCTCATTTGCCCAACATCCCAATGCGCCATTCCATGAGGCGTGGGAGCGATTCAAAGACCTTCAAAGACAGTGCCCACATCATAATCTTCCATCCGGCCTATTGGTGAGCAGTTTTTACGATTCTCTCGACAGAAACCTACAATACATGGTGAAAAGTGCCGCCGGGGGAGATATCGGTGCTCGCACGGCGGAGGAAATGATGGAGATTTTTGAGACGATGAGTACCAACTCATCTCAAAAGAGCTTTCGAGGGAAAAGAATGGCCGTAAACGAGGTCTCGCCCAGACAAGATGCTATTGTTCGGCAAATCACCGAACTAACGGAGCAAATGAGATTACTCAACTCAAGAGGAGTTCAGCCAATGCAATCCATGGCTGTTAATGTTTGCGGGGTGTGTGGAGTTCAAGGGCATGGATCGGAGATGTGCCTTTCGGCCTTCGATCAAGACTTTGGCGATCAACAGGCAGACGCCAACGCTTTGCAGGGATACCAGAACCGACCAGTCAACGATCCATTCTCCAACACATACAACGCAGGGTGGCGAAACCATCCTAATTTCTCTTGGGCTAACAACAACAACGTTCAACAGCCCCGACAAAACTTCGCTCAACAACAACCTCGGCCCAATTATGTTCCTCAACAGCAAATGAGGCTGAATTACCCACAACAACAGTTTCAACAACAACAAAGGGGACCAATTACCGGGATGCAAAACCAGGAGACAGGACAAGGTTCGTCTTACCAAGACGATAGGTGGGACAAAGTTCTCCAATTCATGACCAACCATGAGTCATCAATCAAACGCATAGAAACCCAAGTGGGGCAACTAGCCACTTGAGTTGGAAGTATTGAGGCTGAGACAGACAAAGGGAAGCTTCCCAGTCAACCACGGAGGCCAAAGCAATAACGGTGTTGCGAAGCGGAAAGGTGGTCGATAACCAAGTGGAAATGCCAATTCCACTCGAAGAGAAAAACCAAGCTCAATTAACAAGGGACGATGTCATGTTAACAAACAAAGAGGGCGATGCAAAGAAGACTACGGAGGACTCACTATTGCATAAAGCCTCGAATCCATACAGACCTCGTATACCTTTTCCAGGACGATTGAAGGACGAGAAGCAAGAGCAACAATTCCGAGACCTATACAACATGCTTTCGAAGGTTAACGTCAACCTTCCATTGCTAGACGTTATAAAAAATATGCCGTCCTATGTAAAATTTTTCAAAGACTTGGTGACGAGAAAGAGGAAGTTCGGAGATGGTGAGAAGGTGGTCGTTTATGAGGCGGAAAGTGCTATGCATCATGACTTGCCGAAAAAGGAATGTGATCCTGGGGGTTTTATAATCAAAATTGCCCTCGAGAATGGGAAAGAGGCTTCGGGGATGCTGGATCTCGGAGCAGGGATCAACCTCATGCCATTCTCCATTTTTCAAAAACTTGGCCTTGGCGATTTACGGTCAACCCGAATGTGCCTCTAACATGCAGACCGTTCGATTCGATACCCCAAGTGGGTAGTGGAGGATGTTCTTGTTCGTGTCGGAAAACTAATTATCCCAGTAGATTTTGTGGTCTTGGATGTCGGAGACGTACAGGAGAATGGGAAGGATCACACTATCCTTCTCGGCAGACCTCTCATGGCCACCACTCACACATTGATAGACGTAAAGAATGGGACATTGAACATGACGGTTTTGGGTGAATCGGTATCCATATCGGTTCGGGAAGCCACATCAGCATCCTCGGTGAACTTTATCGAGGAATGTGCCTTTGTTGATAAGATGGATCCATTAGTCGAGGAGATAGCCATTCGAGACTTGGAGGAAAGATTGATGCCAAAATTTACTGAAAAAGAGGAACCGACCATTGAGCTCTTTGAGGTCAAGGAACCGACAAATTGGTCCACCACCACTAGAGTTGAAAGAACTTCTCTCACATCTCAAGTATATGTTCCTTGATGACGAGAAGCGGCGACCGGCGATAATTTTTGCTGAACTTAATCCAGAAGAAGAAAAGGAGCTCGTTGGGGTGTTAAAGAAAAATTGAAAAGCGATCGGTTGGAGTCTTGGCGATATCAAGGGCATCAGCCCTTCCACGTGTATGCACCGCATAATTTTAGAAGAAGAAGCCAAGCCATTTCGGGACAGCCAACGAAGGCTAAATCCGAATATGATGGAGGTTGTAAAGAAAGAGATATTGAAACTCTACTTTGAAGGGTTGATTTACCCGGTGGCTAGTAGCGAGTGGGTCAGCCCGATCCATGTGGTGCCGAAGAAAGGAGGCATCATCATGATAGAAAATGACAAAAAAGAACTGGTCCCTACTCGGATCACTACCGGGTGGCGGATGTGTATTGATTACCGACGACTGAATGCGGCAACAAAGAAGGATCATTTCCCGTTGCCATTTATTGACCAGATCCTTGACAGACTATCGGGCCACCAGTTCTATTGTTTCTTAGATGGACTCTCGGGCTACTACCAAGTGGCCATAGCACCAGAGGACCAGCCGAAGACGACATTTACGTGCCCTTTCGGCACGTTCGCTTTCCGGAGGATGCCTTTCGGCTTATGCAATGCACCTGGCACGTTTTAGAGGTGCATGTTTTCCATTTTCTCAGACATGGTCGAGGATTGCTTGCAGGTATTTATGGATGATTTTTCTATTTTTGGTGATTCATTCTCTCATTGTCTCCATAATTTATCCCGTGTCCTTGAACGTTGCATAGAGTCAAATCTTACTTTGAGTTGGGAAAAAAGTCATTTCATGGTTAGGAGTGGAGTTGTCTTGGGACATGTTGTTTCTAATAAAGGGATTGAGGTCGATAAGGCCAAAGTTGACGTTATTGAAAAACTTCCTCCTCCTGTGAATGTTAAGGGAATTAGGAGTTTCTTGGGGCATGCCGGATTTTATAGACGTTTTATTAAAGATTTTTCGAAAATTAGCCGGCCATTGTGTCACTTGCTAGCTCAAGATGTGCCGTTCATTTTTGATGATGCTTGCTTGAGTGCTTTTAATGACTTGAAAAATAAGCTTGTAAGTGCCCCGATTGTTATAGCTCCTGATTGGTCGCTTCCTTTTGAAATAATATGTGATGCATCTAAGATTGCAGTAGGCGCCGTTTTGGGTCAACGGGTTGATAAATTGCTCCGTGTAATTTATTATGCTAGTTTGACCCTTAATAGTGCTCAACAGAATTACACTACCATTGAGAAGGAGCTTCTAGCCGTAGTTTTTTCATTGGAAAAATTTCGATCTTACATTTTGGGTTCGAAAATCATTTTCACTCAGACCACGCGGCTTTGAAGTACCTTCTGAGCAAAACATATTCTAAACCACGGCTCATTAGGTGGATTTTGTTATTACAAGAGTCTGATGTAGATATTAAAGATAGAAAGGGTTCCGAGAACGTAGTTACTGATCACTTATCACGCATATCATCATTTGATCATACATCCTCATTGCTTGTGCATAGTTCCATTAATGATGATTTTCCTTATGAGCATGTGCTTGAGGTTTCAAAGAGTGTTTGGTATGCTGATATTGTGAATTATTTATGTTGTGAAATACTGCGGCCTAATCTCTCTTCCCAAGAGAAAAAGCGATTTGTTTCTATGTGCAGGAGTTACTTTTGGGATGAGCCGTACCTTTTTAAGATAGGAAAGGACGAGGTGCTCAGGAGATGTGTGCCAGAGGAAGAGCAAGTTGATGTCCTAGCATTTTGCCATGAATTTAATTGTGGAGGACATTTCGGAGGTCAGAAAACCGCTTTCAAGGTTCTTCAGTCAGGTTTGTTTTGGCCTACCCATTTCAAAGATGCTCATAATTTTTGTCGTGCTTGTGATAGATTCCAAAGAATTGGAAATATTGGTCCTAGAAACGAGATGCCCCTTGTAAATAATTTACAAGTAGAAATTTTCGATGTATGGGGTATCGACTTTATGGGACCATTTCCTATCTTTTGGTTTCGAGTACATTTTACTCGTCGTAGATTACGTGTCCAAATGGGTCGAGGCTATTCCCGCAAGGACATGTTATGCTAATGTGGTCATCAAGTTTTTGCGCAGCAATATCTTGAGCAGGTTTGGATTTCCACGAGCGATTGTAAGCGACGGTGGCAAACACTTTTGCAGCCGTATTTTTGAAAAGTTGATGAAGAAATATGGGATTTCCCATAAGGTGGCTACCCCGTACCATCCTCATGTTGGTGTTATATACTTAAGCTTTGCTTTAGTGGATATTACACTTGTTATTTCTTGATGAATGAGAATTATGTTTGGTTAAATAAGTTCCACGTTCTGTTGTTTTGCATGTAGATAAGTGGGTCGTCATCGGGCGTACCGAAGATCACTATATCAGTTACTTGCGAAACAAGAATCATTGGTTCACAACCTAGATGGAATTGAACAACCCATCGGAACGGTTGGTGTCAACCGTACGGTTTGTCTTGACCGATAAGTTGCACTAGTACATTTATGTATT